TGTACTCCCTCCGGTCCTTTTTACTCTGCACATTGGATTTGCCGAAAGTCAAACTTAGCTAAGTTTGACCAAATTTATATTAGAAATTATTAGCATCTATAATATCTAATAAATATAATATGAAAATATATTCCGAGATGAATCTAATGATGTTGGTGTTGTTATGTAAATGTCAATAATTTTTTATATAAACTTGGTCAAAGTTGGATGAGATTGACTTCAGACAAACCTAATATGCAGAGTAAAAAGGACCGGAGGGAGTATGTTGTATGTAGTATCTGTCGGAACCGAGAGTATGTACGTGTAGTATGTAGTATATAACAATGATTAGGTAGTATATATACTAATTTTTAGGTAATATGTATCATTTTTTGAGTATGCTCATTTTTACGTACAAATATGTATGTATTTTACAAATATAATAAAAACTATGAGCTCATATGCAATTTTTTCATGTAACTTGCTTTGAAATATCTTAGATATAGTATATGAACATATTTAAAATAATAAAATAGTATATATAGAACCACATGGTAGTATATGAGACATGTGGGGTAACTACCACCGGGTGGTAGGATGAATTTTCCCTATATATATAGGACAAATGTTTCCAACAAGCAGTGGTAGTTACCACCACTTGCGTTTTGTATGTTATATGTAGTATCTGTCGAAACCGAGAGTATGTACATGTAGTATGTAGTATATAACAATGATATAGTATATGAACATATTTAAAATAATAAAATAGTATATATAATACCACATGGTATTATATGAGATATGTGGGGTAACTACCACCGGGTGGTAGGATGAATTTTTCCTATATATATATATATATATATATGTATGTATATATATATATATATATATTAATCAAGCAAGGTCTGACATATAGTACATTGTTAAACGGGAGTTGGCCAGATCTAGCCAGCTGTGACAAGACTCGGGAATCAATCGAGGTCCTTCTACGCAGTACAAATTAATTATGGGAGCCCGCAGGGCTGCACATGATACAGACATTGTTAAGAGTGCATGAGCTTGGTTGTATTTGCTAAAGTAAGGACTCCATGGAAGTCCTAAATAAAAAACTCATCGATTTGACTAGCTAACTTTTTGAAAAGGATTTGATTAGTTAACTGATGGACCCATCCTTTCTTGACGTTAGCTGAATGTGAATCTTGACCACTTGGGTTTGTAGCATCCATCGAGATTTGTACTATTTAGTATACACCATACTCCACTAGCTCCTCATATGTTATTTGACCACCAAACTTTACAAGGACTCATAACATTTATTGATGATCATTCAGACAAAGTTTCAGAATTTTTTGAAAAGTTTCGCTATGTTTTATTGCACGGGTGCATTGTGGGTGCATTAAGCTGGGGCGTAAAAACCCACTCTCTTACTGCACTAAGGTAGCAATCAGGAAGAGAAAAACAAAACCTGTCTATAAGTTTAACATGCTTGCTGTTGGAGCAGATTAAGATCCTAAAATCGACGAGCAATGCAGGGACCCCATGATTTACATTTTTTTCCCACAATAAAATTGAAGAACAATCATCTGTCTAGAAATGTAAACTGTAAATAGTACACGCGGATAACATTTGCTTGATGCAGTGAGTAACGGATCTTCTCATTTTTTTAGTGTCATCATCTCTTTATACCTCAGCTGACACATGCCGTTCTGCATCAATTCTGTTTGCCCAAGGGAAGGCTTTAGCAAGAATCCGAAAGTACAGTTGCAGCTTCATTTATAGTCATCCAATGGCATCAAGTATCAAACTGGCGATAATAAATACTCCCATTGCATAGGAGTATTGAATTAGATTCTGGAACCACAAACAGTTCTTCACTAGATTAAAAAGTGGCAATTGATGAAAGTACGCGTTAGCAGCCACAAACAGTTCCTCTTTCTTCTTTTTTCCTTTCCCAGTTCCTTGTAACTGTTTGCTCCTACCTCTACATCAATGAAAATCAGCACCATGCTGCTTTTTCGTCAAAAAGCAGCCACACATAAGGGGTAGGTGGGAGCTCATTTTTGGGTCTCCTTGGGGTCTACCTTCAACACAGGTCTATCCCGTCTGTATCGTAATGCTTGGCCATTAAAAGAATCTGCACCATCCGAAGCCAAATAATATATATATATATATATATATATATAATTCAAACAAGGTCTGACATATAGTATATCGTTAAACGGGAGTTGGCCAGATCTAGCCAGCTGTGACAAGACTCGGGGATCGATCGAGGTCCTCCCACGTAGTACAAATTAATTATGGGAGCCCGCAGGGCTGCACATGATAAAAACATCGTTAAGAGTGCATGAGTTTGGCTGTATTTGCTAAAGTTGGGAGTCCGTCGAAGTCCTAAATTAAAAACTCATCGATTTGATTAGGTAACTTTGAAAAAGGATTTGATTAGCTAACTGATGGACCCTCCCTTTCTTCACGTTAGCTGAATGTGAATCTTGGCCACTTGGGTTTGTAGCATCCATCGAGATTTGTACTATTTAGTATACACCATACTCGAGCAGCTCCTCGTATGTTATTTGACCACCATACTTTATAAGCACCCATAACATTTGTAGATGATCATTCCCACAAAGTTTCAGAATTTTTTGAAGTTTTGTTATGTTTTATTGCACGGGTGCATCGTAGGTGCATTAAGCTGGGGTGTAAAAACCCACTCTCTTACTACACGAAGGTAGCAATACAGGAAGAGAAAAACAAAACCTGTCTGTATGTTTAACATGCTTGCTGTTGGAGCAGTTTAAGATCCTAAAATCGACGAGCAATGCAGGGACCCCATGATTTCCATTTTTTTCCCACAAAAACATTCAAGAA